TTTGTAAACGCTCTGTTTTAGCGTTCTTAATGCGCGCATATCAACCACTCCGTTTATTAACATCTATAGTGGTTAAAGATCGCGTTATTTTTCAACGAACCTGGAAACTGGGTATCGACTGGGACTCTAAACTACCTATAACTCTTAGCTCCGAATGGATCAGTTGCTTTTTCAATCGTTTTCATCTGGCGTTGGCTTACGCTTGCGTTTCTTATTTGCGATTCGAATATACTGACGGAAGTGTAGCGCTTAGTCTAATCGGAGGTAAGGTTCGGTTAGCTCCTGTTAAGGCCCAGTCTATTCCAAGGCACGAGTTGCAAGCTGCCCTAGTCGCAGCGCGGTTTGCAACATCCACCTTAGAAGCACGCGAACGTAAACCTGAGACGGTATTTTATTGGACGGATAGCTTAACGGTTTTAAGACAGCTTCGTGCTCGTCCTTCCGCGGATGCAGTTGAATGCACTCGTTTGAATCCAATACCTTCTCCTATCCAAATGCCTTCTCTGGTTACTGCTTTTGTAAATCGTTGTGGTAGTTTGATTCGCCTTTGCTTGTAATTATTCGTATCAATTTAAGTTAGCTCTAAGTAAATATCAAGGTCGAAGCCTTCTTTCTCATTCAAGAACATAATTTACTGCTACAGACGCTAAAGAAACAAACCGCCTCCTATTACTGCGCTCCCAGCTCAATAGTTTTGAACAAGAGTACGCCCTGGCCTTACGTGGAAGTTCGAATTTGCCAGCTCGAAATCGTTTAAGACGACTATCATTCGAATTGGATCCGGAATCAATCCTGCTGTGTCTATGCAGTAGGCCTGCTGTTCGTGGTATCTCCGATGGCTACGTCACCTGCAACATCAACAAGGGTCGACCATACATTCCACCGGCCGGAGATCTTCCCTCAGAGAAGCTAGCTCACCACTCCGAACCATTTACCTGCATTGGGTTGGATCACTTTGGACCAGTCACCGCGTCTATTGGCCGCCGTTCAGAAAAGCAGAGTGGCGCTCTCTTCACGTGTCTCTCCGTGTGAGCTGTACATCTGGCAGTAATCCAATCTTCAGATATCACAATTATGCCCTCAAAAGATTTATGCGAGAAGACTAGCTCCATCTACAGTATGTTCGGACAACGGAACTTCATTCGTCGGTGTGAATCGTATCCTTGAGGCCTTGGCAGACTTCTCATCTTCATTGTGCCTGCGGCACCATTTATGAGCGGAGCGTGGGAGCTCCTCGTGCAGTGCAGTCTTTTATAATCTAATTGTATGTTCCTTGTCTCTTATGTCTTTTTTATATTTGTGTTTGTTCCATTTGTCGGCTACCCTTTATTTTATGTTTACATGGTATTCTTTAGTTTTGTTTTGTTTTGTCTTTGACACCAGGGGGCGGGCATGTTGCCGACAGATACGGAACTTTTTACACTTTTTTATTCTTAATTGTTATTTTTGAATTTAGAACTGTATATGTTTTTTCTTCCTTTTTCTTTATTTTTAAAACCATCAGTTGTTGTAAATATATTCTTGTAACAGTGCGTGCTTTTCTCCTTTCTCTAATAATTCTATTTAATATTTTCCTTTTATCTTTTTATTATATAACATAATATTCCAAAATTCATCTTAATCCTAACGCTCTTCCATTCTTACATATTCGGTCGTCTTTAAATACAGTTATTGAATAAAGCCATAGATGTATAAACTATAGTTGGAGTGTTCCATACAAGTTTGTCGTCTAATGAATCTCATTTTTTATTGTAAATGTCAACACTGAGGGAAGTTATCCCAACAAAATTCGTCCGAGGGTTTTTAGCTCCTCAATTTTGTGCTACCTGTAGTTTATATATCTATCAATGAAGCATACAACGTCAATTCACTTTAAGCTTATATTAAATAATTATCGTCGCTTAAAATTTATTCTGTTAATAAATTAAACAATACTACCACAAAAATATAACAATTTTACAAAAATTGTTAAATAATTTTATCATATGATAATATCAATGTTGTTTCTGCTCTTTGTCTAGAGTAAAAGATTTAATTTAAAAAAAATGCGGGAAGAACTGACAGCTTAATAATTTATTCAAATTTCGAAAATGTCAAAAAAAATATTTTTTTATTCTTTTGTTTAAATATAAATTGATACATTTGTGGCAGTACTGAGTCAACAATCTCATAGACTTAAACATAACCTAGATCGAATAAATGTCTGTGACATTTTCGTTCGTGTAGCACATTTTTACATATTTTTTTTTCGAAACTATTTTGTAGAACCAACACTATAATTTTCATCACATACACCTTTTAGTCACAGTTCACTAGAATATGTAATTGTAAAGGGATTTTTTTTACAAATCTATGAAGTAATATATTTTTTAATAATGAATACTTGCTATTATGTTTTGTAAAAGGAATCGTTTAGAGAAAGTTTGAGCGGTAAATAAATACAATTATATAAAGTAGTTCTTAAAAATGTCAATATCCAAGAAATTAAGTTCTAGGTCGTAAAAATTTATCGCACCGTTTTTCAAGTTTAATCTCATATGAAACCTTTGTATACTGGTTTTAAAGAAAAAAGTACATACATTAAAAGTTCGAGCCTATAACAGTATGTCAAAATTTAAAATTACAAACTTTTTAGTTTATTCTAATATTCTCCAAAATCATACATTCATTATATATTTACATTGCATTCGGTTTGATATTTGTGATTTTTCATTTAATAAAATGTCACTTTGACAGTTTGCAATTTCCATAGACAAAAATAATAATCTAGAATCTTAACCAAAGAGCTTGTCAAAGCAAGCATGGCAGTATGGCTTGTCGTTTTGTTCTTTGAAAGTGCCTTTATTTAATTGTCGTAGACAGAATGCGCATACGAAATGTTCTGGATGGAACTTCCTGAACATGGCGGTGATGCAGCGGCCGGCGATGGGCTTGTGGCAGCCGGCGCACAGCGAACCGCGCTTGCCGTGGTAATGAGTCTCGCAATATGGCTGCCCTTCGTGCTCGAAGAACGACCCGCCGTGGAATGGTTCGCGGCATTCCTGGAAATGTAGAATTTATATTACATTTCATATGGTCAAATAGTGTACCTAGTACAGAGATGGCCAACCAATGGCACGCAACACAATATTTTGTGTAATGATCACATAATTTTTTAGGTATTTAAAAGTAGTTGAGGATCGTTCCTAGCTAGCGTTCCGGTGCGTTCCTTTGGAGATCCCGGGACCCTCGCAGTCGCACTTGAGGTTGGCCACCGAGGGGGTTTTATTGAGTAAGAATCTCACATAACCCTGTCTTTCCCTCAAAAGGCAGGGTATCTTACGAAGATTTCCCCCCCGATAAAAAAAAAAGTTAGCGTTCGCGAGAGATTTCTACGATACGACATGTTCCCAATAATAACAAAGTCAAATCTATTTGATGGCACGTATATGACCACATTTAACGTTTCATTAGAAAAATGACATGTCTATACGTAAAGGTTACCTTTGTCTTATTAATAATAAGCTTAAGAGTCTAACAGAAAGTTTGACACAAACTATATTGTCTAAACAACAATTTTTTTAATGTCTATAAAATATATAAATTTGTGTAAAAAGTGAAAAAAGATTTTTGTAACACAAATCTAGGCTTCATAACTCTATACCATTATTCGGCATGGCGGCTACCACGCTGCACAGCTGATTATTCAATCAATATGCAAATGAATTAATAAAATAGTCATTTAATTAAAATGACTCTACATGATGAATACTCAATTTTTACTGGTATCTGACCGCCGCAATCGCACCGTTTATTAAATTTTTTAAAGAAATGGATTTCTTGTTACATTAATAAAAATGTAAATAAAAGTGTACGATTATCGGATAATATAACCTATTGACTACAATAAGAATGTACGGCTGTGTTTTAATGTCCATTTTTAAAGTATAATTATAATATTTAAAGCAATGATGTTATCTTAAAAAGATATGTTTTGTGTTAACTAGATTTTTGTTTTCCTTCTACTATTCTTCGCATAGCAACTTATTATTTGAGTGCAATGCGATAAAAATACCGTTTGATCCAATGGCCCATAAACATGGCGGCCTGATTCTAGTCGTCAGCGCGGCTGCGGACGTCGCCGCGTCACTAGCGACGCCTTTAAATAGAACTGATGAAACTCTACACGGCACTTGACCCTATTTGCGTATTTTCTTAATTTTCCACCATCCTAGACATAACGCAAGGTCAATGCCACGGACGGCCGCGGCCTTGACGCGACAAACGGTCACCCTTGCGGTCAACACGTCGCGCGCGCAAAATCCCGCGCTTTCAAATGTCATCTGTCATTTTCAATTATTATTTTTTATTTTGTTTGTTTTTTTTATTTTTTTTTTCATCTTTATTATAAATCTTAACATTACAAATAAGTTAATAAAATATATTACATAATTTATTATTTCCTATTAAGTACACTAGACTAGATTTATGTTACTTTTTGTAATAGAATTATTTCTGTGTTTGTGTGAGTATCATACGTCGTTGCGCCGATACGGCGAGCATAGCTGAAAGAGAAATTGGGGAGGGCATTCGTTTTAGAGAAGGGTAGAAGGCATTCTTTATTCTTCCTCATCGACGCCGGCGCATTTTGGGCATACCGGCTTTCCTTCCATAGCATAAAATGATTTTCCTTTAACTGCATTTTGACAATCCTGTGAGATGGAAACCTTATTTTACACATTGCATATGCAATTAACTTGTTCAGTTATAATACGTAGGTACTGTATACTTGACCTGGCGTAGATGTGCTGCTGAAAAATGTAATAATACTACACCTGTCATAAAACCATGTCGGCGCCGTCATCTATCGTGAGGTAATGAAGACTGGTACTGACCTTGCAGACAAAGCAATCGGGATGCCACTGAGTGTTGAGTGCGGAGATGTAGTTCTCCATGATGGGCTTGCTGCAGCCGCCACACTTGGGCGCGAACATGTCGAAGTAGTCAGCGCGGCAGTAGGGCTTGCCGTCCCGCTCGTGGAACCCTTCCTCCCCGAACTGCTGACCGCATTGTGCGCAGAAGAAGTGCTCAGTGTGCCACGTCTTCTCCAGAGCGGTCACGCATTTCTGTGAACATAAATAAACATATTTGCATAGAAAACGAATTGTGAAAATGGAACCTATTGTTCTTATACATTTCTTCGATCGCAACTAACATCTAGAATGGGGCCATTGCAATACGCGCATCTCGGCGAGAAGAGGTTATGATAGTCCGGTTCGCAGTACGGCCTGCCGTCGCGCTCGAAGAAGTTCCTGGTGCCGAGCTCCTGGTTGCAGTGAGCGCAGGTGAAGTGCTCAGGATGCCAGGTGCGGCCCAGCGCGGTGATCACCTGCACACAAATAACGATTACAATCACTCTCATCGACCAAACTTGGTATGTCCAGTTTCACTATTCACGTAATCCCAGGAATATTAAGTGATGAGGACCTGTCCGACGATGGGTTTCTCGCAGGCGTTGCAGCATCCCTTCTGGGGGGTCTGTACTCCTTGGCGGCTCATGTCTGCCCGCAGGGAGCCGAGCATATGCTCTAGCGAGGCGGACTCCGGCTGTCGCGGATTGGTGCGGTACTGCTCCTGCCACGCGCGCTTCTCTCGGTACACGTGTGCGCCGCTCTCTGTCGGTGAACCGCTAACCTACAGGAACGGTATGATTTATTTACTTCTGCTTTTTTTTAAAGTTCAATGTTATCGATGCGAGATCCAAAGACGTACAGCAAAGATACCGGTCGGTGGCAGCGGAGTGGAGCGAATGCGGTCCGAGTGAAATGTTTGCCTATGTACTCTAATATTATATGCTGGCGGCCCCACTACGCCTGTGATGTAACCGTGCGACCTATCTTTAGAACCAGCGCGCGGGCGCGAGGGAGACGGCGGCGCTGGAGTAACCGTTCTTGCGGCTGGAAATAGCGTTCGACCAAGAAAGGCGCCTTGTAAATATTATAATAAACGGAAAATCGGATGTTCGGTGGTGCAGTGTGCCGAGCCGGCTCCGATGGCGAACGATTTTAAGCTTTAAAACGGGGGAAGTAGTTTGATGTTTCTTTTCAAGGACACGTTAGTGACCTTGTCCATTGTCCTAATTAGAAATCGAGCCCTTCACGCTTAATTAAGAATGGCTGGGCGTGCTGCTAATAGGGGAGTCGAGTTTATCGTTATTTCTGCATATCGTATTGCTTGCAGCGATGATGACTCACTTGAATGTTTACACTGGAGTCCGTTTATTTAAATGAAAATAGAGAACCGTGGAGTAAATACAAATGTGATTTATGAATGCAATTTAGGTTAAGAAACATCAGGCGTACATAACTGCCGCATAAAATAGACAAAGTCCTGCCTATCAGGTCGAGTGTCGTCTTGGCAGCTATCTGCGGCCTTGGTTATTGAAATCTGTCGTCTTGTTACAAAATGTTTTATATAAATCAAATTGAATTTTGCTGTATAAACAGTGGACATACAATCACACTCGCGCGTCATGATCTCATTAGACATTTCATAAATAAATAACGTTCCGTTATCATTTGAATATTATTTAATAAACTATAAGACTTAGATTAAAACTAGCTGTCGACTATTAAAAAAAAACTTAATAAGTTACCTATGTATTCTTCCAAAATATGTTCTACATCTGTTCCAAATTTCAGCCAGACCTGTTAAATCGTTCCGAAGATACCTTCAAACAAACATCCATCCATCCATCCATGTTATCATGCGCATCTATAATATTAGTAAGAAGTAAGATTTAACATTACCCACATTTGAGGGTAAGTTAATGTTGCAAATTTCTTAGCATTTGTTAACGTAGTACAAGCCAAACTTATAAATACAAGATGCACTTACTTTAAAATCGGACAGCGATGCCATCAGATCATCCAGCTCCTTGGTAGCACTGGAGGCATGGTGGTGGTGCCTCGGCGCGAGAGTTGGCGGCGGCTGGTGCTGCGCCTGCGCGGGCTCCACCACCGTCTCCTGTACGGTCACCGTCACCTGCTTGGTGCCTGGCCGCGGCAATGTGCCCGCGGCAGATCCCACCGGCGAAGGCGGGACAGGTGATACTGATGCGCGACTATAACAATATACAAACAATTAATTACTGCACTCAGAGAAGGTAAAGTTGCTAAGTGTGGATTGTGTATGAGAAATCTTATTTGCGTCAAGGAGGCCTAATTTAGTCCTCTTTCCCATCCCACCTTGTTTCTTATAAAGAAAGGATTGGAAGTGGAAGTGGACTTTCCGGATAAGAGGATGCATGGAAAGGGAATATATTTTCTTTCTGTGCATCCTCTCCTCCGTCGATTAAAGGTAGGCAACGCATATGCAATTGCGTATGTCTATGGGCAACAATCACTTCGCTTTATCAGCGATTTCAGGTGGCCGCTCGCTCGTTTGCCACCTTATGATATAAAAAAAGTAAATCTAAACTGAAACCCTTAAAGGACAATTAAGTCGATACGTCAGTACGATAGTCAGTGTGCTTGTACAAAAGCAAAACAAATACATTACGGTGAATGTTTATATTAATACTAATTAATAAAAAAGATTTTTTAACATATAGTATACTTTATCATTAGTCTTAATAATGTATATTTCTTTCGCAGATAACAAATCTTTAGATCGCATATATAAGAAAACTGTGTGGGACGTCGTAGTGATCAATTATGAGCTGAAGCTTGCTAATCCTATGCTAAAATAAAGCATGAACTAAACATTGTTATTGTAGACGCATTAGAATATATTCACGTTTGCTTTATTTAAAACAGTTACATCTGCAATATATTAGACACGTGTGCGACTTATTATTTTGCATTTGTTGGGGAGAAAATCCTAGAATGAAAGACACACATAGGAATCGAAGGCTTGGTGCGTCTTCGATCTAATACGGACGGTTTATCAGAAAGCGGAGAACTTTATATTGAGAAAGGCATTTGGGCAGGCCTATCCAGTAGTAGACTGACAAGTTCATGAAGATGATTCAATAACCTCCTTGAATACTATAATAAACTTGATGTCCTCCACTCACAAATTTCATTAGAAACTTCTAATAACATTTTATTTCATACGTTTTCATATTATCTTGGCTTCCACTCGTTAAAACTTCAAGAGATTCCTCCTTATTTTTTAACACTTACGCTGATATTTTCAGACTTTCTTATATAATAATTCTATAAATACTTTTATCACATTAGAACTTTTTAAAGCGGGAGAAAGAGAAAACACAAGAAACATAAGAGCAAATATGTTTTTCGCGTTTTGTCATTTTCCTTGTTACTTATTTTTTAAATAGTTTGTGTGATGCGGAAGAATATATTAAGGGCCTACAGACCCAAGGTTGTCTGGTTCATTACCCGACGAATGACGACGGATGACCGAAGCTCGCGAAAATGAACGCGACACGTCAAATTGTTAGCTGTCAAACAATTAAAATTGGCGCCAAGTCAAACAACGCGGTCGCGTCTGCCGCGCGACAAGCCATCCAAAACAAAACGCACACGACACAGGCGTAGTGATGTGTGCAAAATATTTATATCATTCACTCTCAAGCTTTGACAGATTTTTACATTCACAAACAAATGCAGCTGTTAGTTTACGTTTCTTTTTTTCGTGCGGTTGAATATTAAAAAGATAAAATCTCAACAGTAGATATGTTAATTATAACATCGATTTGAAAAAAGTTTTATTACATTTTCTAGTTTTCCTTTCTAATTTGGTCAAGTCCTTCCGTTACATTTTGAAAACCAAAATTGCCAAACGACGGGCACTATTTCGATATTATTACAAAATAATAAATCTTAATACATCAAATAAATAATAACGAGTTTGAATATAAATGTGTCAACAGGTGTCGTGCGATAGTTATAAATGCCAATTACGACGCGGAAGAAACGCGGCCGCCAACTGCGATCAATACAACATACGAGTAGATAACATAGATTATGGTCATTGTTTATTTTAGATGTTATTTTAAACAGTTTTTTTTTTAATATAATCAGGATGAAAATACGGTTTTGTACAGATCGTCATCAGCTCTCTATAAGTCCTAACTAAGGGGCTCGGAGCCTATAAGTTAGGGGTGACTAGACCATATTCCATCGCGCTGGTCCAGTGTAGGTTGACTTTGAAATTTCATTGCAAATATGTGCAGGTTGCATCACGATGTGTTCTTTCACCGTAAGAACGTCGGATAAATGTATATCAAAAATCACATTGGTACATAGACGAGATTCGAACCTAGAATTACAAGTCAAGTGCCTTAATCCTTGAGCCACCGACCACGGCTTTGTACAGGTATCGACTGTTAAAACGTAAGTTAAAGTAACTGTCAAAATTATGGATTTTTATTAGTTACCTTATTTAGAGTTTTATATGAAGTTTTCTATAAGACCCAAAATCAACAAATAATATTCAAACAATTTTATAGTCTCGGTCAAATTTTAAAATAAACAACCATAGTCGTAATAATTTTACAACGTAATAACACGCACGCCTACAAGGAAATCATAAATCAATATATTTTAATGTAGACAGTAAACCTAGCCCTTGAAATTATTAAAATAGATATTTCTTAGAACCCATAATTACAATTTACTTTTGTAACTACATATATAACAAATTTACTTTCTTGCAAATCTAAAATTCTATGAATCTCTTCTGCAGACCTTGTCCTACTTCAGTAGATATTCTTTATATTTACTGATATTATGAAGAAGAAAGATTTGATTGTTCGTTTGTTTGCATTGAATAGGCTCCGAAACTAATGAACCAATTTGAAGTCGTTCACTTTTGGGAAGCTACACTATATCTGAGTGATGTTTTCGTTCATCATGTTTATTACTAGTTGTTAATGGCGCGGACAAAGTCGCGGGCAACTGCTAGTTATGAATGATTTGCCAGAAGTTTCAAACTGGCCTATCATAACAATTAAAAAGCATAATTATAAAACGATGTAAATCTTAATAAAACCTTTTTCTTCGAAAACTAAAACTCGACGAATAAAATTTATCGATCAGTGTATGCTATAAATAATATAGGCAGGGCGCAGGCCATCATTAACAACAGAGGCGGGTAGGCCGTGACGTATCGCCGATCTATTTTGAAGTACCCACAGAAATATCTGTCGATTTTCACACGGCACGTCGACGACGCGGCTGCTAATGCTCCAAAATATGTTTATGCCACAATGAGATATCTGATAGAAATTAATATTTTTCGTCCGTGCCAATAGTAAATAATATCATAGATATTGCTTTAAATAGAAAAATCTTTTTAAATTGATATGGATAGAATATGCGATGGACTCCCAGAGGCATATTTAACAAACATCCAAAAACGCACACACATTCACAGTAAATTTTGACATAAAAAAGTATACATAACGATAGGCATCTTTCTGATATTCAATATTAAATTTTAAAACTGTGCAGATACTCGTGTCAACTTAAGAAACTTTATCTTTGATACCCCAGTTTCTTACATCCAAACTTTAATTTAGGTTACGCATACATGTTAAGGTGAATTACTAAAGAAGGGTTTCGTAACCAATGTTTTAGGCATAAAAGTGAACTTGTCCTTATTCTACTTTAAAAGACAACACAAATAAATTTAAATTTAGAATATCTAAGAGAATCTCTTACCATGGGTTTCTGAGTCCAGAATCTCCGAATAATTGTATCTCTGTGTTGTCAAAGATAAAGACAAGGATGACAGTTTTATACAGAGATTTAGAAGTCAGAAACCCACGGCTCTTCTGAGGTATCTTTCATACACAGAAATAGCAGTAGTCTGGAATATATTTGAGAGTGGCAGTAAGGATACTTTTACTACCACCTCCTAAGACGTAAGTTGGTGGTAAGATTTAATACATACCCATTAGGTACGTCAGTGCTGAGTTGATCGAGAAGGGAGTCGACTGTGGGCCGGGATGACGCTGGACTGGTCGCGCCGTTTGCTCTCGAATATCCTTCTGCAACAAATAATAAATGCAATGAAGTGATATAATATATCGCAAAAATAGGTTAATTTACGTTTCACTTAATGTTATCAAACTTGTCTCACTAATATTATAAATGCGAAAGTTTAGATGGATGTATGGATGTATGTATGTTACACTGAAATTGACCTAGATGTTCAACGTGGACTTAGAAGTAATTAAGTTTTTTTTTAAACTGTGGTGGCAGAGTCGCGTGCAACATCTAGTTTATTATTTAAAAGAATAACCACATCTTATTGATTTGTATTTCATCTTTAAAAGTTGTTAATATGAATAAAATAAGTTCAATCATGAAAACCTTCAAACTTATTTTAAACGTCTTGTGAAATATATTAAAAAGGATGAAATTAAAGAGGATGGCGTCAACACTAAATACGTTCTTGTTCACGCATTAATTATTATGTCAAGACAATACAAATTGTTAGTTTATCTACGGGAAGAACGGAGACAGGTGGTGCCGGACATTCTGGCTTCATTGCCAAAATATACTACGAGTTTTAACAGCTAAAGTTTCTAAACAACTTCGCTGAAACATTGGAACAAGTGATTTCAAGACGAAATAATTGAAATATCAGTTGTTCCTTCTTATTTAAAGGAAATGAGGAAGATAGCGAGATAGTGGCAATATATTTTTATGATGCTGAGTTTGTGGTTTAGCAAACACCTAACCATAGAGTAGAGTAGTATACAAAATAGAGCATTTTCATTATGGTTATTATGTCTGAGAATACAATTTAAGTTTTGGCTTCAGATCTTGGCCGACACGATCGATCATCGCTGGAAATGATTGTCCGTTGTGCAACATGTCTCGTACATCATCCACGCTTTATTTAGACGGCTTTATGTTGCCAAGTTTACAATAATTAAACGACATAGTCGTTACGCTTTACCCTTCAGTCAAATCATTGCCACAATAAGTTTAATTAGGACAAAACATGAAACAGATAATTAATATAAAGCTAACATAGAATTAATTCTAATACCTCATATTATTTGAAAAAAAAACAGACATAACTAGATTTTTTTCTACATTTTCGGCAGAGATAACCTTGTATACCAAAGAAATATTTATATCGCTTCTAATCACAACTAGGATAAGATTTAAAATTATATGAAAAATATGACGACAACGTTAACGAGGACGAGTCTTTATATTATTTTAACATCTTTAAGAAATTTAAATGTGATAGAGTATATGTTGCCAATTTAAATAAATCACATTACTTCATGTTACATTACATGACATCGCAGCAACGAAATCCTACCAATAAATAAGGATATTATGTATTATTCACTGCAGATACAACATTTTAAGCCAAAGCTAGAAGATAAGTCGAGAAAATGATAGAATAAAACTTAGATCATATTTCGATAGGTCTTTTTATTTCTAACTAGTTATCGCCCGCGACTCCGTCCGCGTGGAATGAAAAAAAAACATAATTAGTACCCGGCAATTATTTAAACATTTCTCACCTTTTCAACCTTCTCTAAACCTCCAAACATTTCAAGACTAAGAGAAGAAAAATCCGTTCAGCCTTTCTCGAGTTTTACCGAGACTAACCAGCAATGGATTATATATATATATACGATAGTTTATAAACTAAATTTAAGATAGAACGTCATTTACCTTACTTTATGACTAAGAATCTATACGTTTGAAATTCTCCCGAGAATGATAATAGACGCTTCAAAAAGATCTTCATATTGTTACAACTAGCTTTTAACCGTATCAATTTCATGGCCGTAACAAAAAAAAATGATAACAGACTAAACATATCAATTGGCACATAAAAATTTCTTCAAAGTGAACACAAGGATGGATATAGCATTAAATCGGAAGCTAAACAATTTGTGCCGACTGAAATCCGGCGTCGGCGTTTATTTCTGTTGGATGGGAAATACTCTGTGCCAAAGACAACATTTCGCTATCGCAATGGGCTTTATTATATCTTATTTTTGTTTTGAATAGACTATAGTTCACTCTGCATATAGTACATATGTAGTAAACTTTAGGATTGCAGTATGGTTGAAATTTATCAGAGACTTATCAGCAATATAGGTGTACCTAATTGGCAGTTAATTTGATAATTTTATTCTTTGATTTGTTTAGTACAGTCTTTCCCACAGTGGGCGATAACGCCCCCTTGTGGGCGCTGCAGGTCTCAAGGGGGCGGTAAGAGACCCAGAAAGAAAATGGGGGCTTTGTGTAGAGGCCTGGGGGGTTTTTTGTAATTTTATTTAGCTAGGAGGCCTCTTAGACAACGACTGCATGAGCTCTCGACTCTCAACAACAACTTGTGAACATCAACTAATATGGATTAAAAGATTGCTTAAACTCTAATATGGGGTCGCTAAAAAAATATTTATTCTCAAAGTTGGCAGTAGACAAAATAAGTTTGGGAACCAGTAGTTTAGTACATTGCAGTGAATTATAACTTTACATCTACTTTAATTTAAGTCGTCTTACTATAAGATCGTCAGTTGTCTTTTCAGTCGTATTAAGTCCGTGACATGATTTTAACGGATATAACCCGACGGGTAACTGGATCATTAATCTCCCATTGGATCAATTAGCGTTGGCAGAAATATCACGACGACAGACGGGCTGATGATTACACGGTAATTGAAATTAGATCGCATTTGTTAGTTTTATTCATTACTAGACGAAATAATTTATTACAGGAAGACAGCATATTTTAATGATATTGTTTTGAAATTTTCGTTAAATATTTTAATCGTTTTAGTAGTGCAAGCGTTCGGTGTTTTACTTTCGGCCGAACGGCTCAATGTTTTTTTTTTATCATTGAGTCGATTGATTCTATGCATTCGTTCGTCCCAACGGTGACAAGTACGTGTTGTCTATTGACACATTTGTTGAATGTATCTGGTTAGTTTACATTCGTCATGCATGTTACACTGTCTAGACAGACGAATAGAACATCGGTAAAATAATACGCAATTGCATTCCATAGTATATCGATCGTTATTATATAGATTGTTGAAACAAAACAGATCCAGCTAAAAGTTCATTGACCTTTTATGATTTCAGTAATAGTTTTCCGTTAAAATGATCGATATTTCACTTTAAATTATCTATCTTTTGAAGTACTAAGAAAAGTGCAATTCATTACGAATGTATTTGAAAGATAATTTAAAGATATTGAATTTCTCTACCTATAAGTCTAATCTATTTTACTAATATTATAAACGCAAATGTTTGGATGGATGGATGTTTGTAAGTAACTCCGGAACAGCTGTATGGATCTTGCTGTAATTTGGCATTAATGTAGAATAGTCTGGAAGAACACATAGGCTTCTAAGTTTTTTCAGACAAAGTCGTGGGCGACTGGTAGTAGTATTATAATAAAATTAATTACTCTGTAACACAACACACTTAATAAATAATTCACTCACCATTTCTCTCATTATATGTAGTTTTCTCAACATAATTTCCGTAACGCGCATTGCTCAAGTCATCCAGTAGGGTATCAAGTTCTGAAAGGTTTCCCCTAGTCCTGCCGTAGCCTGTCGTCTGGTACCCTGGTGAGTGGCCGCCATAGCTCTGATTTGTGTTGTACTTTGGTACTGACTTCTCGTGGAAGGTCGACGTATTCTGGTATGTGGGCTGTAACAAAAAAGTATTTAAGTATTTCAATATTGTGCCGCTTCAAACTGTTAGGAAGAAAATCCGAAAATGTGGCAGTGTATTGACCCAACACTAATCTTACTAAAATGTCGACGTTTGTGTCCTCTCACTATTCATTCTGACACTGGACTTTCTAACGAAAGCACGTCATTCGCGTCAAAGGATTCTAACTAATAATGTCCAAAAATACAAATCGGAAAAGGTTTATTAGTATGATTATCTTCAAAACACACTAGCTGGGGCCCGCGACTCCGTCCGCGAGATAAAAAAGCCAATAATTAGTAGCCTATGTGTTCTTCCAAACTATGTCCTATGTATATGCTAAACTTACAGTAAAATCTATGCAGCCGTTCTGAAAATACCTTCTAACTAACATCCAAAGAACCATCCAAACATTCGCAATTACAATATTAGTATGATTAATTCGTGTATAAGAAGTTTGATTATAATATTGCTTTGGACTTTGGTAATATAATTTACAAAACTGATAGTAGTGAAGTATGGCCGATTTAATTGTAAATATTTAACATCAATAAAGTAGGCCACGGGAACTACGGCAGTTGTAGGTTCCGCAGGTGACATGAATCTCACAGCAATCGATACTTAAAACATTGTACTTTTAAACTAGCGTTCTTTTTCATGCAAATACACAAGGACTACTGAAAATTTCAAATGTAGCAATAATTTTTTGGTTTGAAATAATAAACCACAATGGTTTAAAGTCGTCTGAGAAGTAGGAGTCATTGATTTTAGACTAACCAGATTTCTAGTCCGCAGTTTAGACTCCAAATATACTTCGATAGCTCAATCGACCTTCATAATAGTCGTTATTGAAATGTTTTACAGATTTTATTTATCTTACATAAATATAATATTTTTACTACGTTAAAAACGAAGAAAAATACTAACTAAAGTTAACTAATAGTCGGGTAGGGACTTAATGTTCATGACTAAACAAAATATTAATTTTATATTCAAACAATTGACATTTCTAGTAAATTAAAAAAAAAAAGTTATTTCAGATTGTATAAATGAAATTTTTCTTGTTTTCACAAGTTTTCTGAATAGCGACATCTATTGCGTAATAGATGAAGCAATAAAAGTTGGATGTTGTCCAATTCGTAACATATGCGGCTGTGGTATTGAGTAATATCGCGTACGAATAGATGGCGTGGATATCAATGAAAGTAAAAATAAAATCTTTGCACGATTTTACGCGCATTTGATTTTCAGCCAAAATGGTAAAGAGAATAAAGCTCAAAATTGGACGCCACAATTTTTAAAAGCAAACGTCAAACGACTATACGGATACTGGGAACAATAACACTAGAAATTAAACAAGCAATCTACTACTAATCCGTGGGCAGTACCAAACTGTTTCACCGTGGGTTTCTGAGTCCAAAATCTCCGATTAAAACATATTGTTATCTCTGTTTTATCAAAGATAATGACAGGGATGACGATATGTTTTATATAAAGAATTTGGTATCGGAAACCCACGGCTAGTAACACAAAAAATCGTTCATAATCTTTATTGGCCGTAAGCAAAAAAACTAGATACATGTTGACAACGATTGCTATCAGTTTCTTCGTAATAAGGTTACCGTTAAGCTGAAGGTTATCATTAATTACAATTTAAGCAGTTTGACACGATTCTTAGAATTGAAATCAAACAAAGTTTAAATTCATCTCGTCATCGACGTATTAGTATTGAGATGAGATCATACTACGTTTATAAAGAAATGTTTTGTATGTCTGTACAGCTTTTTGATATATAAATATGACACGACCAAAACAGTACCATCGTTAAAATAGTCAAAGTTCTAGGATAACTCTTACTAATCTTACTAATATTATAAATGCGAATCTTTAGATGGATGGATGGATGTTTGTTTGAAGGTATCTCCAGAACAGCTGACGGATCTGGCTGAAATTTGGCACAAATGTAGAACATAGTCTAGAAGACCACATAGGCTACATTTTTTTTTCGCGCGGACGGAGTTGTAGGCGACAGCTAGTTAATGATACTTCTATGGTATTTATTAGTTCGTTAATCTAGTTTAAAACATATTAATCAATGGAGATTTAAATGTCATAGTTGTTTTAGCTTTTAATGGATAAAATAAATAACATTAGATTTCCTTGAATTTATTTTAAGAAAATAAATGTTATTTTCATTCTTAAACGATCTATTGAGAGGGAAAGTTTATGTTTGTTGCATACCAGATTCTCTTGTGGTTTTGTGATTTACATGTGGTGCTTGTGAGTCATTGGTGAGCACTGATTCATCCAACCAAGATAGTTGCGTAGTTTTAATTTTTAATGAGGATCTTTTAGATAGAATCCCTAAACGCATTTTTATAGTCTGTTATCTGTCTGTTTTTTTATCACAGACTTGACAAATCTTAGTCCCACAATTTTTCTTAGTGACCAGACTTGGGTTGAAAAAGTACAACGAATCTAATATTGGAAATTTGGATGGATTTGCATGTTTGGATGGATGTTTGGTTAGAAGGTATCTCCAGAACGGTTAACGGAACTCGCTGAAATTTGCTATATATGTAGAAATAGTCTGAAGAACGGGCTTATGAAGTGTTTCTTTTTATTCCGCGCAGACAAAATCGCGGGCAAAAGCTAGTAGTTTATAAAAAAGAACAAAACCCACAACGAAGTTGTACGATTAGTATTCAATATTACCGTGAAATTATTTTACATAATATTGTCTCTGAGAATGAATAAGGTAACATTTTGTCACCTCACAAGTGTGTTTAGAGTTAAAACTAATAGTTAGGGAGTATCTACTTATTAGGATTCAACGCAAGAAATTGTTGTGGAATCGCGAGTCACCACTAAATCACGTGTCAAAGACAAAAGGACCATCGACAATGATAGCCGCGTGCGCAGTTGATGACGTAACGTTTAATGGTCGAGCTTTCAAAGCACTTTAAATAAATCGTTCATACTTTTATATCTCTTACACTGTAGTAAGAAAGAGATAGCGAATACTCAATACTTTATGGAACACAGTCATCATGTAATAAATTATTGGAAGAATGTGATGACCATAGTAGGACCGCTTCGATAAATACAAAATTAAATGTACAAGCGTCAGCTAGACATCAAAAAAAAAGTTTTTATTCTTTTTTTTTACTTTTCTTTTGAGATTGTGTTGTTTTCTATAAATTAATGTACAAATTTAATTTATATTTTACATCCATTTAAATTCAAGTTATTAGAATTAAATATTACTTTTATTTTTTACTATCTGTCGCCCGTGACTCCGTCCGAGCGGTATTAAAAATATAACTTAATACGTAGCCTATGTGTTCTTCTTGACTATGAGATCCATACCGCCTTCTGGATATAACTTCAAACAAACATCCAAACATCCATTCTTATTTATAATATTAGTAAGAAGTAAAATGAAATACTGATATATAGTAATTAATCAATCAATAAGGTCTTTCTTATCTTCATCTTATCGTATTGCAACTCAGACATTTAACATTGGAAATATATTTTACAGCCACATGTTACAATGTATATAGGAAAACCACAATCTGAGCCTATAAATAATTCAGTAACACTCTGTATATAAAAATTTAATTAGCATATGTATTTTTATTTTATAAAATCATCATAATTGTGCATCAAGCGTACTTCTATTTAAAGGGTGTTTCCCATTATGCCAATATTTACCGTTTAATCGGTCCAATGGAAACAAACCTATTTTTAAACTTAAATTCGTTAATATAAATATTTCGCGTACTATAAAATATTAGTAAAAGAACAATACATAATAGTACCTTGATATATCTTTTTAATAGAAATTTTATAGGACTTTTAAATTTCATCGTACCATAGACGGAAACACGGACGCATGCAATTCATCCCTGCTTCACGTATTAACAGCGCAAAACGTCTAGCAACGAAAGTAATCTCAACTATAAATATATACAAAGAAAGAATGCCAGTAATTTTAAATATATAGCATTTGTCAAAGTATATGTTCAATGCTATGAATCCTAGAATTGGTCCTCAGCAGAGATAAATATGTTACTGTAATTTGAAATTGTTTTAACACGATTTTATCCGCTTAATTTCTATCTATGCAAAGAAACGTTTTAACTTAGGCTTCAAATTGAAATATTTATTGCAAGTACGAGTCTTCTAGTCATTAAAATGTGTTTATTGGCTTATTATAATAGAAAATATGGTTAAAATACTTACAGAGCTAGGCTTATTATATTCTGTGGTGTTATTTCTGGATCCATTTATAGATCCGTATCCCGTCGACGTGGGAGAACTGAGACTTCCTCCAGGGGAACTGAGGCGTCCTGGAGAACTTCTGCCGATTGGAGAGGCGGTCCTGCCGGGTGAAGTCGTCCTGCCGGGGGACGTGGTCCTCGCTCCCGGCGATCCCGTCCTAGCTCCGGGACTCGACACGCGTCCCGGATTTATTGAGTTCTGTAGATCGGCAAGCAAGGCATCTGAAATGAAAGATATTTTAACTATTATTTTAGATTTTGCCCAAATTCTTTATAGAAAATTTGGAAATTCAAATAAAGGACAATGGCATATCCAATAAGCATTTATTATATTATATAAAAGATAGAATTAATGTTTTTCCAAATTATGGAGATATATAATATATAGTTTCGATGAATGTATATAAAATTTTACAGCAAATTTATCAACGGAAACATTATCACTTATTTCATAAATCTTACATTTTGTAGTCGATAAGTTATCTATCCCTTGTTATTTATATCCGAGAGAGAAAAACACTAACTCCTCATGATGTCTTGTTAACTATAAATTTTTTTAATACATACATGCAACAACAAACATGTCTGTTCAAGAAAAACTTCCTTCTGAAATAACCACACACTATGTAACCACTTACAAATGCTAACAATTTCAAAGAAATCTAAACAGGATCAAAAACTACACAATTTAAGACAGCGCGAATGTTTTCTGTTACCTAAGTGTAGTAACATAAACATTAAAAAAATATACAGCTTTGTTTAATTTAATATCTAGAGGTTGTAATAGAATATATATAATATATGAATATATAGAATAGAAATAATTGTCGAATAGTAGTTTTGTTGAATTACCAAATAATATGATTTCGTAACGTTAACCAACGACAATGTGATTCAGAGATAAACGTTAACCTTTGTAATGTATATTAGAAAGTATATAACACATTTAAGCGGATGATACTATTTTTAGGGCGCATATGTACAATCGTAATAAATATATAAATGCTGAGTAAATTCTGACCAGTGATGTCATGGTTGCACTCAATCAACTCTTAATTGGCGCCAATGATCATCCGACATTCTGTCAAATGTTTATTTTTTAAATTCAAATTTAGAACGTAGGAATGATACTGGCTTGTGTATACAGTGCATTTATTATAATTAAAAAGAAAGTACAATATGCACGTTCCAAGCATGTTGTTTTTTAACGACTGTCTTAACTTTCAGAAATTTTTGCTTTTAATTATCAATACAGCCAGTAATTATCTACATAATATATTTCTCTTATTCGGTTTAATGTCCATGCAATACGAGTTTGTCTTGTTTACATTGCCAAAGTTTCCGCGGTGTTTCGAGTCGTGCGGTTACGAAACTAGTTTTCATTTGGACGAGTTCATTGGTCTTCTGACGCCCTCAGGACCAGGTAACGGCCAATTTCTGAACAACCTAACGTCCCACGACATTACCTGGGTAATTTATTAAGTCGTAAGCTAACTAGTATAAAAGATCATACCTGAGAGAAGGTACTGAAAAGTTGCTGAGAGAAGAGAGAAAGTCAACAATGGTATAAAGGGTGTTTGTTCTCTTACCAGCCAGGTATGAACACAAACATGAATGGTTTACTTTAAAAAAAAAAGATAGTGATATTTATTTAATCTACCTGTACCATGAATTTGGAACATAAAAAGAGTGGTGGCATTGTTATGTAATCACGCATTTAGTGTTTTAGGTACTCGAGAAAGGATTTCGATAACATAATAAAATACGTTGAATATTTTAAAATAATCGTAGGATAAATGTGCATGTATGACGATATTAGGACAATGTAGTTTAATTGAGGAAATTGAGGAGGAATTAACTTGGTTTTAACTTATTATATAACGTGTTGAGCGTCATTAGATAAGAAATATTGATATAATTTAAGAAAAAGAGTCATCGTTATCGGTCACTGGGCTTTTTAGAGAGCACAAAACAAAAACTATTTAATACCTCATGAACATAGCTTTAACATAATAATTATAAAACTGGCACTTAATCATTAATAAACAAAAATAACCTTTAACAATGACAATAACAAAGAATCTTCAAGGGCAGTATTTCATTCGACAAAACACAGACAACAATGGTAATTTAGATTCAACAATGAATATAGATTATTTTAAATACCTAATCCTTCAACAGCTTCGAACACTTCTGCATAATCCGCTTCCGCTTTCGTTTCCTTTTTAGTTTTTAAAATCTTCCCGTAAACATCATCATTCACTGTATAATATGCTCTTGACATTTTGATTTCAAATGAACGCACCCATACACGATATGAGACAGACACACACTGGCCGAAACAGATTCGCGCGAAAGCACTTCTTTTTTATAAAATAAAAAAGTGGAAAGGGCGAAGGATTCTAAATTTAAATATCTCCTTTGGCCTTATCGGCAAGGAGGCGCGGGCGGCTCAGTTATGGACTAATGTTATACTGATTCACCTCATCGGAGCGAGCGCTCCGGCCGCAAAAATTGCCCGCTCTAACTCGACTCATTGTTCACGTAAAAATTCAATAATTTATTCGAAAATATTAACGCTAATTTATTATGTTGATACAATTCTTTCTTATACAAATACTGAAAAACCTATTAAATCGGTGTCCAAAACTGACATTTTTAAGACTTTTACTATCTTTTTAAAAAGTATTTCAATGCTCATAATTCATAACTTAGATAATCCATTTTTACTACTATAAAAGTTATTATCAAATTATATTATGAGATGAAATTAAACGACACGCTCAACTTAAAGCGCTTAATGGCACAAATCGATGGACATGGAAATTGTACAATGCCATCCAAACTTTATAGATGCTCGCAATTTCACATGCGACTAGCGTAAAACACAATTTTAGGAATATGATGTAAACATACATGGATATTGGAAACACTGCACGTGTTTGTCGCCATATGCAGTACACACTCAGCTACAAAGATTATGGCTTGATGTCCCGTTTACATTATGCCAGTAAATAGAATTATTGATAGCGTTGGCATTCAACTGGCGTAGTGAAAACATTAGCTGTTGCCAGTGAATCCATACATTCCATGATAGCCTAGCGCTACTACCCTAATACTGGCATGCTCTCAACCAGGTATAAAGTTTGAATGTTATAATACTAGCATACTCTGCGATCTGCGATAATGAAGACGGTGCGAGATGACTCGTGCGCCGCGGAATCCGATTTGCTAGCTCTTTCACGCGTGTCTTGAGTTAAGCATGAAGCTTTGAGTACAGAATACTGTAGGAACATTGCTTTCTTTTTATTAAAATTGTGCTAGACTTAATTTCCAAAACTTTATAATTCAAACTCGATATTTATAAAATATTAAAAAAATGTATGTACGTTATCTATTACGATCGATTTTGAGGATTATTATGTCATTATAAAATATAACATTTTTATAAAAGAAATTATTTTTATACGTGGAAACCTAATGCTAACAGGTATCAGGTCCATCAATTTACGCGATAGTCTGTATTTGAAATAAAATTTAAAGTTCACACAAGTTGGTTGTCATGATCGTAGATTTTCTCTATATAATTTTTTGGCACTTAACAATCACTACTATTTGCAAAAAACACATTATGAGCAAATTGACTGACTAAAATAAAAAAGGAACTAAAAATTGAGCGCCTTATATTATTAATGTGGCAAAGAGTTTGCCACTCTGCGAGACAAAACGCCTGTTGCTTTTAATGCGGCAATAAAATAAAAACTCGGGTATGCATGTGTTTACTATTACCAAAATAACCACTATATTTGTCTCTACCTTGTCTCCCCTCCTTATTTAACGTAAATTAAATAAATGGTAGTGTTGTAGTTATAATGACACTTTACTGTATAATTATGCCGATGATCCTTGACAAAAGCATAAATCACTATTGAACCTTGTACAATGTAATAAGAGACAAACATAAAATTTAAGCATAAAATATCCATCAGGGCTTCATAATGATACGTCAGATCGCTACTGATGTTCAAACTAAAATTTCTGAGTTAGTACACCAAAAGACTGAAGGAAACCGGCTGGTAATACGTCACAAATACAAAACAACACGGTTATTTGTTACGATTACACTAAGTTTATCCACGCGGCCAACTCCCGATCGCGTCACTGACACAAAATCAAAATAGCACAAGGTCAAACTATAAACCGCGACCTGAATCATACGTAAATCATACCAGCATCTACTATACTCACCTAAATACGAACTGAAATCACTGAAGTATCGCCTCCAATCTGAACAGCTCAATTCCGGTGGGCTCGAAGGACCACATTCGACGGTATACTTTCTCTCTAACACAGGGGAGAAAGAGACGGACTTGGGGGATGCTGAGCGCGTGCGCACAGACGCCATCCCTGATATCTAGTATAAAAGGGGCGATCGGTCAAAATCGTGGACAGTCGTGGTCGGACTGCGGCTAGGAGTAGACTGATTATTTTAGGTAGAGGCGGCCGTTGTTAGCTGATATCGCGATCGCACTACTGAACTGGCGAGAGCTACGTGCTATTCCCGTCAGGTGGTCATTTCCGCCGATATTTCATAACACGTCAACTGATCCCTGTTGACTATTTCATAGTATCGGGAAAAAATATGTATGCGACATTTAAAGACAATTATTAGAAAATGAAGGCAAACGTTTTCACGGCGAAGGCTTTTAAATCAGTCGATTCAAGACCAACAGTTGCTAAACGATACACTAGGGTAAAATCTATTTATCTGTGTAGGTGACAATAGACTCAACAAAATAAACTTAAGTAACTGTTCGCAAACACCATTAACCTATATCTGCTTAAAATAAAGAATGAAAGGAAAGAAAATAATAGAACATTTCTTAATAGTTTTAAACATATCACATACGCTTTAAGTAGACTCCATTGAACGTACGAGTAGTAACTGGCTACACAGCTTTGGGCTTCAATTTTGTTATTAAATAAATCTTACTAATATTATTATACAAATGCAAAAGTTTAGCTGGATAGATGTTTGTTTGAAGGTATCTCCAGAACGACTCAACAGATTGTGATGAAATTTGGCACACATGTAGAACATAGTCTTGAAGAACACATAGTGTACTTATTAATTTTTTTGTTATTACGAGCAACCGGAGTCGCGGACGACAGCTAGTAAAACAATATAAATTACATTTTGAGTGCATTTTTTTATTAGTAGGAAGAGAACGTAACTACGTTCAAATAATGGATCTATAATTATCACCAATTCGATACTTACAAAAACTGCCAAGAGATGAATCATCATACTATTTTAGTGTTTGTTTTGTTTTTGCTACGTTATATGAGACAAGGAAACTAATTTGACATTACGGACATTCAAAATCTACAAGTCAAACTAAATATATTAATCAAATTTTGGTAAACGACTGGACGTATTTTACTGGGAAAGAAGCTGATGCACATGGAAATATTTTATATTACTTTTAGACATTATTAGTTAGAACCCTTTGGTGCGAATAGCGCGCTTTCGTTACAAAGTCAAGTGTTACAATGATTTATAAAGGGACATCATTTTTTTTGTGATGAGTAGTCACTGTTTGCCTTGAAGAGGCATTTACAGCTCCACCGGGCTTGAGGTGGCCGAGCGCAGACGGCGCTTAGCCTGAACCTCGTTTAAAGGGATATAAATGTCGACATTTTAGTAAGGCTAGTGTTGCGCCAGCACGACACAGTGTCGGATTTTCTTTCTAGCACTACTTTTATTTTGCGCCGAAAGTTACGGGCGACTGCTTAAGAAATAGAGATACCAAAAGCTTTGTACGAACTTGCCTAATAGACATAATGTTGATATCTAAGATTTTTCAAGTACCCAAGTATATATTATTGAAGTCGCCCATTGTCGTACGTGGTTACTATCTCAAGCTCCTAATATAGACTGAACAATTAACTACAAATTATATGGTGTTGATAACATTAATTACTAATTATATAAAATTTGGCGCCGTTTATTCAAGGTCTATATTACTAATTCATTGCTAAATCTGTAGGAGGCGTCCATACTTGTGGGCGGATGTTTATTAAATACCCATAGACTTAAGTGTCGATATACTATCGATAGACAAGTCAAAGATAATGTGTAATACTTAATTTGGTTAGCTCGATGATGAGTCAGTTATAACTTTTAAAATACAAAGTCTGGATGACAGAGCTTTGCTCGGTATTTTTTTTTAAATTGTGTTTTTTGGAAATTATATTAAAGTACGAATTACTAATAAAATGATGAAATATGAATAATATTTTTCGATCTTACCGATAGAAAAAGTTATGTTTATGTTTAAGTTGATTATCGATAAAACACGAACAGAATGACATTTTCTAAAAATGATTCCTAGCTAGATCGATTTATCGCCCCAGAAACCCCCTATATACTAAATTTTATGAAAATCGTTGAAGCCGATTCCGAGATTCCAATCAAGAAATGCTCATTTAAAGATATAATATTAACAGTTTTAAATAGGACAATAAAAGAATAACCTAATTGCTTAAGAACAAGCACTACGGAATATTTCGAATGACAGTAACCAAATATTTAGGTAGAAAATGTAATCAATATTTAAAGTAATAAATATGTAAATGTAAGTGAAATGAAGTGTAAAAATCTATCTTTGCCAACCCTACGTGTTACGCGAGTAGGTTTACGAAGCAAGTTATGATATAATATTAAATAGTTTTTTCTAATTTTAATTTGTTTCTTGAACTGAAATAATTGTTTTTACGTAAATCTTTTTACATTTATTATTATTAGATCATGTTACGACAGAGTGCGTGTGATTGATTGTGGACGGTGAGGTTTCTTCGTTCCCTACGGCTCAGTGGACCGCGTCAGCTAATGACAAATTGATGTCGTCCTAAATTACATCTTGATGACCTTGAGTCTTGCTATTGTTTTGTTATTAAGTCCTTAGAGTTTAAATTACTGATCTTTATCTGTAGCATTTATGTTTTAAATATAATTAACTTTATAATTTTTTTTAAGTCCAGAGCGGAATTAACAAAGTAACCTTATTTTTTAAACGAAACAATTTTATTGTGTACTTTTAACCGACTTCAAAAATTAGGAGGTTTTCAATTCGTCTGGTTTTTTTTTATTTTTTTGTTTATCTCGTAACTTAGCTCTTAGTTCTCCGATTTCCATATTTTTTTTTATTCTAAAAATAGTGCGTGACATGCATGTCCAATTGCAAAATTAATAATTTTTCGTTATTCAATTCGATATTTTTTGAAAGCTCGTATATGCTTATATGTGATGCGAGAGAGCCAAGTGTCAGCTAGTTACAGACAAGAAGACAAACAAGTAAAACATGTAGTATATGAATAATACATGAAGTGTCAAACTATCCGACCTGCATGTCAAAATTTCACACCATAACTAGAGAGTTAGTTTC